GCATGTCTCTGTTCCTAGTAAATATCAATGATACATTTTTTGAAGGGTTGAAATTATTATCCCACTTTTTAACCCGAGTACTAATATTTGAATGATTTTCTGAAATTTTATTTGCTATTTCAATATTGTTATTTTCAATTATTTCTCTGAAGGATGTATCATCAGCAAACAATTTTATGTCACAGTATCGGCTATATCATTAAGTTATTGACAGAAATAAAAAGGGAAAGGTATATCGCAGTTGGTCAGTGTTTTGTACGTTTCATTAATGTTGTTTGCAATTTGTGTTGAAGGCCATGTGGAAGATACCTCTTGAAATAAACATGCCACCATTAGTCATTATTTTAAACATTCCTCTTCTGTTGTAGACGAAAGTTGTAAAGTGAAGTATATCACTCTAAAGATTGTCTTTAGGTGGCTATCACAGATCGGCTTAAGATTTTGCATATGCACACTTTGAGGTTATGCCGGGTTGGTAAGACAGGACATTAAGGTCAGTTTGGAGACCATTTCGAGATACCAGGGGTAAAGATGGGCACCAAATTTCCAAATAGCTTCTTTCTGTCAAATCTATATTTTGTTTTAAACTTTCTTTCTAATTCTTATGCATTGTGTAACAATAAAAAATGACCGAAAAAACTTGCACATTGTTGATAAGTAAGTGACCTTGTTACATATGAGCTTTTGTGCCGCCTAAATTCACATTATAATAATGTTACAGTATTAGTAAGTAACTCACGAAATGACGGTCGAAAGGAGTTTCTTAATATACTATTTTACCTTTTTATTCGAAAAATCATCAAAGATCAATATTTAATAGAACCTTATTAATAAAGCAGGAGTAGAAACTACCATTATTACAGAAGGTTTCAATTCATACGTGTATGTCATATCTAAAATAACCAATATATATGAAAGCGACACCTACTCGCCAGATCTTCTGCTGAACTACGTTGTTTATTTTATCGAATGTTATAAATATCAGCAATCGGACAGAGTAAAACTATTAACCCATGTACCCGCATATCCACATAATACTAAGCATAGTAATCAAATCATTTTGTTAATTATTTTCAAATATAATGTTATTTTATCAGAACTGTTTTTAAGCTCAACTAGTTTAAAAAAAAACCGGTGAGCGTATGTCGTGGCGCAGCGTCCTTCGTCGTCAACCATTTTTTTCATTTCAATTGCTATTTTCCATTACAGCTCGGTGGGTTTTGACCAATAGGGGAAACAGCGATAAATCTTAAATCCTCTTACGTTTGTATCATTGAAGCGATTTTCATTAATATTGTTTTCGAGCACCTGCAAGGGGTCGGGTTCATACGGGTACAAAATGAGGGAAAAGCTTTAAAATCATCTTCTGTAAACTTGGAAGGAATATAACTTAATTTTCAGGCAATGCAATGTAAACAAACTGAGTCCCTCTTCTGGCGGATTTGTATCTATTTTCATAAAAAGCTGAAATTATTGATGGGCTTATCGGAATTGGGAACAGAAAAAGTTCTTCAATTTCACATTCAGATATCGACGATGTGCTGTGTTTGGATAACATGAAATTAATTTACAACATCGATCGTATATACCCTAAACAGCTTGAAATCAATGACACCGCAGACCTTCAACTTCACCGGCATTCCGATTGTAACCTTTCTTGATAGTAACATCCCTGTTTCCTCCATCACAGTGTTAACATGTTGCAGTTGATTCGGTACTCAAGAGCTTGCTCAGAATAGAATGACTCCCGTAGAAGATGTCGACTGGTCACTGACAAATTACAACACAGGGTTTTCAAGTGAAATATGCTATATTTTTGGTGATATGAAAATCGATGGTTTCGATCATGCTAATTTAAGTGCCTTGCAGGTGTTTTTTTTGTCTCCATCCGAGTTCTGGAAGTGGAGACGTGATATTTACTTGGATTTGACATAGATTTACATGGCTGTATATTTACTTGAATTTGACATAGATTTACATGGCTGTACTACTTGGATTTGACACAGATTAACATGGATGTACCTGTTCAAGGGTCATAGAGGTGTTAGCATATGTTGTTCTTCTTTTAAAAATCGGTATGGTTTTTAATTGAAAGTATAATACCATGTGAGCGATTAAAGGGACATCTCGTGAAGAGACATATTTCTGTTAATGAACGTATGTGTTGTATGCACTTTCACTTATGTTACCTTGCTATCCAAATATCCATAGTCCGTTCCAATTACAGTGTAAGCACTTGAATTGTTCGGGAAAGCCCTGTTATAAATAGCGCCAACAACGTCACGTGACGGTTTTGAAACGAGGCATTAAACACAGGTGGTCTGGCCGAGATGCAAAGTTTCCAAAGCTGCCCCCAGTGAGGGGCCGTTAGGCAACTGCAACTTCTTACCGCACTATAAAACCAAGGGATATGATTTCTAAGTCCATGTTGAAACTTATTGAATCCCCAAGCAGTAATTATTCATCATCAGAAATTAATTGTACACATGCCAATATTCACAATTTAAATGAAGAAATATGTTTTGGCATCTTGGCATTAACTATAGACACCAGATAATATCTATTACCGGAATGTGACCGCTACAAATGGGTACGGGGCTAAACACCTTCCCTTCATCATGGGACAAACCTTTCTGTAAAAAGGAATATTCACGAGACGCATATCCTTTTTCAATCCTTTTAAATGTATATATATGCATTGACAAGTGTAAAAATAAGACATGTTTGTGATTCTTTTACAACTCATTGTCTTTGGCCACTTATTTTCTAGACCATGCATATATATATATATTCACGTATACTCTCTTTCCCACTTTCACTGTCTTCATACGTTCACACACAATAAACATTTCTGGCAAAACCACTACGTATACTTGTAGAACATGTGTAAGATATGGAAAGCGTTGAGATACTTGATAATTATATGTTTTTAATAATTTACAGAGATTAAACATACTTGTAAATGGACCATTTTTATGTTGAGATAACACATCTTTAATCAGTTCCTTTTGTCCGAAACAGAAGCCATAGTTATCGAAAGCACACGCCATTTTTACAACGTAAACAAATTACTTTTTTTTCTCGTTTTCAATGCGTATTCGGATTCTATCTGAAGTCGAAAATTAATAATTTTTAGACAAAAGTTGTTGCATGACCATACCTTATAAATGAACATCATGTGAAAACATGAACTGTTGAAACATTACGATTAAAAAAGTATTTTTGTTATGCGATCCTATTTACTATAAGCGCGGACTTGGATAGCAATCTAATTCCGTGCTATAAGTAGGTTCTCCTTCCACAGTTATTCATCTTGAACCGTCATTTTGATATATTTAAACTTTTGCATGTGAATATAAAAATCGTTTACTTCAACAATAACTAAATAATACCATTTTATTGAACCCGTGAATATAATAAATTATGTAAATCTAATAGCGCACGTATCTCATGTGACCCCGAGTACCGACAGAGGTACTGTACAACATCACAACAGTTATCCCTTGGAGGTCCCCATATCAAAATCAAACTAACCAGTCACCTATCCCTTCCTTTCGCATAAACCACTGTAAATAGAAACGCAAAATAAACTTTCTCCGATACATGCCCATTAACATAACAAAATAGGTTCATCTGTGTTCCAACTTAAACAAAGATACTAGCGTGGTAAATATGTATAGATATTTATTCATAATATAAACAGCATTTTTGTCGATTTCATATCAGCTTGATACCGGCTGTCCGGAACAATGCATGCACCATATTAACTGCTAGGGCATTTATTTTCGCCTTTGAATACTTCCCATCTCCAATAATGCTTCCGTAACTTAATCCTTGCGCTATCTAAGGACATAAAAAATATGCTCCATCGTGATAACCCTTTAATACCCTGGGTCTCTCGACGTTAGTTTCTTTTTACTTAATGTTCACACCCATACCCATTCCATTTAGGGAAATATCATTCAAACGTGTGTATTTATAGGATCCTACATGAGTTTCCATTTCATATGAGATTTATGAAAAGAGTCTAGGAATTTTTCAATTTAGCAAGCCTTTTGCAAGCTACAATGAAAAACTCATAAATTTCATGTGAAATGAAAACGAGTGTAACATCTTTTATATCACATAATTAAGATTTGTCGCATTTATTCATGTAAAACGACAATTTTCATGCAACCTTGAAATGTTAAAAGACGCCATTTTGACTCCAGTGCGTAAGTCTGTGACGTCATGTACTTGTCCTATGTATGACGTCACAATTAAAAATAATTGAAACTTAAAACCAATCACAGGGTTGAAGGATCATTTACAAGGATTAATACGCAAAAAAATATGACATGAGTATATTTACTGGGTAACTCAGTACATTATGTGAGAAATCATCATATTGCATATATTTGACAACGTTTGAACTACTGTGTATATATTGACCTGGTTACGACTGCAAAATAAGTCCACTGACACTCAAGATGCATTTCACAGCAAGACCACACGATATTAACAGTCTTTACCTAAAGTAGGAACAGAGAAGCAAGGAGTGAAAAAAACATTTGGATTATAAAACAACGACAAACGTAGGTGCAAATCAATAACAGTCATTATGATAATTTTCGATGCTTCACTTGTGTTTAATATTGTGTTATTGTCTAGAGTTGCAGTGGGCTGTATATCAAGTTTTGCTCCTCCAACATGTGTTAAGCAGAAATCACAGGTATTGTGATATTGTAGTTCACAACCAAAAAAACCCATAGAAATGGAATCTTTGAATGCTATGTTGTATATGCGTTATATAGTGTAATTTGTCCATTTGATAGCTTTATATCAAGCTTCAGGGATTTATGGTGAACATAAATCTACAAGACGCATTTCAAGGACGCGAATCTCCTAACAAACGACACGAATCATAGCTTAGTGAAATACATATCACATGAAGTACAAACGACAAGTTCTAACTACTGAAAATGTTTGGATTTTGATTTATATTTGCATTGGGAGAACTTTGTATATTTGAAAACTTTACTGCAATGACAACGTATTAAGGATGTCTACACGGACATTTCAGTCTGTGATATTTGGTTCAGAACATCATCATCATAACATGTATTTGCACTTAAAAGTTGATTATGGTGATTGGATTTAATAACTTCATCTGCATCGTACGTAGACGCAAGTGTTCCTTATTAAAGATTTGTATTTTCAACCCGCATTCTTGTTATGCTCTTGCTTCCTCCAGAAAACCTTTACCACATATAAAGTGACTTCAAACATAATGCTCACAAACGCGAGAACGAATCCCACTCCTAACAGATAGAACGCACTCTGTATATCGACAAGGGAGATAACTTTAGTGTAAGACTGTAATTTTCCAGGACAGAAGTCTCTCGATGGCCATCGCCTCCGCTTCCAAAAGGATAGCAGTCCATTTTCATGCATTGCCATTATTCTGAAGGGGAAAAAAAGAATATCATATGTTAATAATTTACTAAACTGATATTTTCAAATACTTCGATATATCCTGGCCCGGGGACAGAACCCACTACAGTTCCTAGGTAGACCAACTGTGGTCCCTGCAGGTAGGGCGTGAGAATAGTACCTGCTGTCCAAATTGCATGATCGTAAGAGGCGACTAAATTTGGGATCTTATCTTTTCTCTTCTTTCTAAACAACTTTCTTCTTCTTAATGTCTTCCTTGACAATGCCGCACGTTTAGCCTTTAGTTGAGCGTTCGCCCCTGTGAGGAAGGCTTTGGGTTCTGTCCCCTGACCGAGACATACCAGAGTCTGTAAAAATGGTAGTTTCTACTCCTACTTAACGCTCAGCAATTTAGGTTTGGACGACTGGTTTGCCCGTTGTCAGTATACTGTGACTGGGTGGGGTGTCTTGCTGTGTGTCCTCTGCAGTATGTTTCAGTGAGGTAGCACTATAAAGTCGGCATCAGTTCGGCGCTATCACAAGGAGACAAACACGAACATATCGCAGCCTCCAAAAACACACACGCATATACTACACGCATACATCTTCCACATAGGGGAGGTCGTCCTTAAATGACCATAGCTGTTGATAGGACGTTAAACAATACCAAACCAAACCAAACCAAAACCAACGTTGTGCTAAACAGGGAGTGAGATGGTGTAAAGGGAAGCTTTATGACGTATAAATATTCAGAACGTAAGCGAAGGAGGGACTAGAAGAAGAGCAACCAACCCCTCCCTTTCATACTAGGCATTTTACCATTGCGGCAGATGACAAGTATAACACCATATTCCTGATAATGTGTACATGTCCTGGGTTGAGGACAGAACCCACTGCCTTCCTTACACTGGCGAACCTTCTGCATAATAGCCAAAAAATATATTATGCTAAGGGATGCGTAACAAAGCATGAACTAAAAATACAAAAAAAGTTAGGATAAGAAAATGTAAATTCTGACTTGCACATAGAAACACCAATTAGTACAAAAGAATGAGTGGATTCTTCTTCATTTGGTCCCTACTTATCGTCCAGTGTTGTGGTGTTGTACTTATGAAACAAAACGCTCCATTCGTCAACCAATCAATCTGGTAGTATTATTGGTTAGAATGTAAATGGAATACTATTGTGACAATTATATGATATTTGAGCAAGACGGCAATTAAAAATGGTCATTGAGCAGACCTATTATCTGTGAACATGGTTTTCATATGACCGTAGGAGTTGTTAGGACGAAAATTCTTAAATAAATTGGGGATTTGCTTTTGTGCCCTCTAATTGGGGACACAAAAGCGACCAAAATAAATGTACTGCACAAATTGCAATATTTGGGATCTTTATATTTGTTTCTTCTTCTAACTAACTTTTATTTCCTAGCGCCTTGCTTTACAATACATCACCTTTGACTTTAATGTTGAGCATTCGCCTAGGTGAGGAAGGCAATGAGTTCTGCCCAAAAGCCGGTCCTTAAAAATGGTAGTTTTTGTTCCATGCTTGACGTTCAGCAATTAGGGTAATGGCAAAAAGTGGTTCACCCGTTGTCAGTATAATGTGACCGGGCGAAATGCTGTGCTGGGTATTCAGTGAGATAGCACTATAAAGACGGCATCAGATCCGCGCTATCACAAGGAAGCGAGTACAACAACATACCCTGTCTCCGCCATACATAATCACATACACGCATACACTACACACATCGAGGCACGTCCTTAAAAGACCTCAGCTGTTCATAGGACGTGAAACAAAATAAAACCAAACCGAAATAAATATTTAAAGAAATAGGTACCAGCGTTAACAGCATATTCAACATAAACTATGTCTAGGAAAACAGGAAACGATGATACTCTTATTTCCACCATAGGCTAGATACATTACATACTTGTTATCAAGTGTAAAATATCGTACTTTTGACTGAAGAGGTCAGTTAAAGGTGATCCGTTTGGAAGTCCGAAGCTGTATTGTACCGGCTGGATCTCTGCTGATCCGGTAAACAGAGAACATTCGTTTGCCGTCTTTACTTGTATCTGGCTTCTGTCTCCAATATGGACGTAGTTACCGCGCAGAACCTTGTCAATATGTACTTTCTGGTCCAGGCTAAGAACATCAGGGTCTGTCCTGTTAAAACGAACCATCCCTTCATACACTGCCTTAAAAACCGGAAGTGAGGATAACTGAAAAAAGGAATTTTTTGTTACCAAACAAAAGTATATACTTTTTTTTATCTAAACTCGCATCTTCATGCATAAGTATTGCTGAAAATACAGTTTTTGGACAGTCAACGCTCGATTTCGTTAAATGTTTTTTTTTTTATAAAATACATACATGGAAAACATGACATAACAAAACATAGCTACGTACAAATATATACATTAATACGGTAACTATAATCATGCTTAGTCAAGTATGATTTGCATCCCATCGCCATACATTCAAACTAATTAAAAGTATTAAGACAAAGAAACTTATTGCTTCATTGTGACAATGGTTTTGCTATAGTAATTATCAAACCAAGGTTTCGGTGTGGAAAATAAACAGATTTGGGAAATTTTCAAGGTAATGACCATCCTGAACTAAAGCACCTGTAGCTTTTGCAAGGACGTAAAAGCTTGGCAAACATAACGAGCAACCCAGTACAAAACAAAACCAATTAGTGTACCTGGAACATGGTCACCCATGACGCGCCCCCGACGACGCCCCACGTGTAAACGTCTTGCTTGATCATTCCCTCCACACCTTGGAAGGGGAGGGCGTCCTTAGTGACAGCGAGGAAAGCCACTAGATTACCTGTGTACGTGGCGGTCAACACCACACAGAAAATCCACCAACTTCCAACGACTATCTTCGCCACATGTGACCCCTGAAAACTACCACCTCCTTTGGGAATAATTAACATAATCAAATATTACCTATTATTATTAAAGTTTTTATATCTGTAGTATGGTACCTTAGAATGGCTCCTGAGTGGTTCCAGCATCAGTTATCACTGGCATTTGCAATAAATTGTTGCAAAAAAATAAGAAACTTAAACAAAATTGCTCATTCTTTCTCTATACAACCACTGAACGGCATTTTGTTTTCAATGTAAGTAACGATAAATCACAAAAAGTATTGCCCATTTAAAATACTGCTGATATCCGTAATACATTCTAGTTATCCGTTATTGAATAAGACGTATTTCTGTTAATTGCCGTTTTGCAATTTTGTGTCGCAAACAAAACGATATTGACGGATACAAATCTTAGTCATTTAAACGATAGATTGAACTGCAAACTTAGGGTTATCTACGTATTGCATAATTGAAGAATGACATACCAATGTTACTATTGTGTTAGTGATCGCATATTGCCTATTATAAAATTTAACTAATGTCGCTAACATTAACACACATATTCAATAAACTCGAGTAATCTCATTTGTATGATATTACAAGGATTGAGTAGAACAAAGTGGTAACTACTGTTTACCTCGCCCGATGAGTGCACCATACAAGTACCATAGAACGTTCAAAAATGTCCATGGTTGCTGGTCAATCTTCATACGAAATGGACTCATCCGGTCAAGCAAGGAAGTACAGGTAGCAACAATAAGTAAACCGGCGCCAATAGACACGATAAGGATCCAGTGAAACGGATCGATATACGTCCGCCATTTTTTGGTGTTGGGATCTTCTTTCGCCATTAGGAGAATTGTAGCATCGTAAAAAAATGGATGAGTGAAATCCATAACTACCTCGCGTACACCGAGTACGGTTAGTGCGGTCGCCACCAGATCTACTTCCTGTAAAGAAGATGTTCGATAAAAAATAAAAATACGGGATTACAATAGGTAAATTGTGTTGTCACATGAAACGTAACCCAACTTACTAACGGATTTCGCTATCAATGAATTGCACGCAAAGTACAGTTCAGAATTGTTATAAATAAATAAATCTTATTAAAACCTCTTCTTTCTGTGTCCAACTTAAATTAATATTGATGATTGCATTTCTATAGAACATTCAATTCGGATTCTTTCTGCTCTGAACTGGCTTAACCAGAATATACACTCCATCAATATTGATAGTCTCCAAACTCGATAAATTAAAGTACTAAAACGGCAAATATCATAGTATTGTTGCACACCCACATTGCCTTAAATAATGGAAAAGGGCAAATCAGCTTATGCCGTTGCGCGGCGCCGTTGTCTAATTCTCTATCATACCCTGCCTCTGGCATACATACACATATTGAGGTACGTCCTAAATGACCTTAGCTGTTGATATGACATGCAAACCTGTACAACGAACTCCGTCCTTCAACTTTTCATCGAATGGATTTTTTTATACACAACGAAGGGTGCGGCCCCCGCTGGGAGCAGATGTAGAAGAGCTGGGCCTTAAATGGGAAATCTAGGTATATCCTGAACAACCCTTTTCCTTTAATATGGGTAAAGGGACTTGAGCCCAATTTGGTTTGGAGCATCATTGGGCAAAGGTGTCGTAGGGTTGTGCAAACAAAGGGTGTGACGTGACAAAATAACTGTATTTTGAATCGATTGTGATCGTCAACGTTTCCGCCTTTTTTGAAGTCACTCGAGGATGTGATTTTACTACTGTACACAAAACCTCCCGTTCAAACGTATGTAGCTCTTCCAATTTTAAGTCTGTGTTATATTATTTGTGGAAAACTGTGCTTTTAATTCTCATTCAAACGGCTACATAGTCTTCATTGTAATAAGAGTTTAGCTATTGCGCAAACTTACTTTAATAAAAATGATAGAGCGATTAAGATATTGAACCAATTGTTTGTTTATTATAAAACACAATGTATTTAACTAACAGGTCACAGCCAATGGCTCGATATCCTTGTTATGTTCTTGATTGTACGCTTAAACGCCAACACACAATTTTCTGTTTTGTTTTTGCTTTTACGGATGATTTCAGGCATTGCCTGTATTAGCCTTTTCCAAATGGTTCTTTATGCATAATCAAACCACTCTGTCTTGCTCACATTCCGTTGGAGTTGTCCAATAAGTCCTGACCAACGTCCTTGATTGGTCGATGCTCCCCACTCTAGGTCTGGCGACGTGGTCAGTTTATAACTAGAACAAATACAGTAACAATTACTAGCTAGGAAGGTAAAATATGCCTTCGGCATGTAATTTCAGTGAGGTAGCACTATAAAGCCGGCATCAGATCTGAGCTATCGTAAAGAGGCAAATACACCTACATACGTCCTCCAGCACACATACATTGTACATTACACATTTTGAGGCACATTTAGGGGAATGGCAACAACTGGTTCATCCCCGTTGTCAGTATAATTTGACCGGGTGGAATTCTGTGCTGGGTGCCTTTGGCATGATATTTCAGTAAGATAGCACTGTTAAGTCGGCATCAGCTCCATGCTTTCACAAGGAGGCAAATACACCAACACACCCTGTCTCCGGCACACATCCACATGTGCAGGCATGCACAACACACATGGAGACACGTCCTTAAATGACCTTAGCCGTTGATTAGACGTTAAACTCAACAACCAAACTGAAATATCTATCTCTTTAAAAAGTATGTTTAACTCTTCAAAGCTAAACATTTCTGTTATCTAGCGTCAGTGTAAGCAGTCGTCTTCATATGACTTTGCCTTTGTGAGGACGTTAAATCCCAATAAACAAAACATAGCAACATACTGACACAAACGTGTTTCACCTTAAAACAAAAGATAATGTAAGTTGTTACTTGTTTTAAACTGTTTGCTTAAAACTTTGGAAAGCAATTTTTGTTTCAATATGGGATATTAAGGGTAACATTTTGCAGACAATATATCTAATATACTACAAAATGGCTGTCTGCCTCCTTGGCACTTAACAATAAAGCAACAACCTTCACAGGGGAGTTAAACAGTTTTCCGAATATACATAATAATGAATAACAAAGTCACATCGTAAGATTTATAATGTTAGTTTTTTTCCTTTCCCAGGCGTATCAATTTAAAATTAAATATTGTGAAAACCTGTTACAGCTTCTTAGATCGATTTTATGTATGGGTTATCTATACACTTTTGTAACATTAAACCTGACTAAAATCATAGCTTACACAGCTGTAATTAATAGAAATATTTATTACAAATTGTTCTGTCACAACAACGTATTGTGTACCGGGAAAGTTTCAACGCAGTAACTTTCGCCCTCCATAGAAAAGGCAAAGTTGTCATCTCTTTTAAGACATGTTCTCAATACAGCATTCGTAGCACTTTCATCGATGAAGGGTGCATATACAGCCATTCCGGATAGATCGTATCCAAACTCCTAACGGCATATCTTTGCAACATCTCTTTATAGTTCGGAAAGCTACCATGTCTGTGTACGTGGAAAAGCCGTTTTCCCTCAAATACAGCAGTTGGCATGACCCAATGTGTATACATTGTGTAGTTTAGACCAAATGCAATATGCATTTAGGGACCACGGAACCAAATGAAAAATAAATTGTGTTATTTTTCCCTTTTGGGCAGAAGATTTGATAAGAAAGTGAATGCCTCGGGGCCTGCTGGTTGGATATTTTGATGGCAGAAGTTTCAAAACTGTTATGTGCGGGTTGAGCAATATATGTACATTTTGATGAAAATGTATATAAAAAAGTCCGTTTTTGTCACGGGGAGTTTATTAAGTGTGTAATTTGTCGTAAATTTTGGTCAATTTTTGGTGCCGAATTCAATTCAAAATGGCGGCTCCCATATAAAAAAAATCAAATAGGTAGAATTTTTAAATGTTTTTTACAGGTGTGTGAGATGAAATTTGGTTCTGCGGTCCCTTTAAGCGTTGAAGCTAATTTTACTACTAGTATTTCCTTTATCATTGACACAGTCAGTCGTGCCGACTAATCGGTTCGTTATGACAGAGGGACAGAGTGTCGGTGACTTAAAAAATGTTATACGTAGTAATAAATTACACTTCCGTCTTCTAAACTCGTATAATCGACATAAATATGCATTGGTCTTGTCAGGTGAATATACAGATTGATGTGTATAGCAAAGTCTCATAAAACAACTTCCATGAACAATGCAATTCTATTAATCCATCGGAGGAATATGAAAAAGATCCAGATGTGTTAGGTGCTATAAGTAGACCAGCTAATTTCAATACAATTACAAACAACAATACATGAACGATTAAGAAAACAATTAAAAATAGGAATTTGCGAAATGCATGAAAAACATGTATAAGAAATCTTTATCGGTTTGATCTTTCTTAAACTGAATTTAAGTATTTAAATTCCCTATCACTTGTAATTTTATATTTTCGCAAATACAATTATAATTGTGCTTAAATGTTGAATAACGATCATACAAGTGTTATTTATTGATCTCCAAAAGTGTGCATAAAAAGCACTTTGTATAACGTTTGTCAATTCACCGACAATATGTCCCTCTGTCACGACGAACCAATTACACGACACAACTGACAGTGTTAATGATCAAAGACAAGAGTAAAATTAGCCTCAACCCTACATTTGGTCCTAACTACACAATGTAAACACATTGGGTCAGGTCAACTTCTGTACATCAAGGGGAACGGCATTTTTCACGTACACAAACATAGTAGAATCCCAAAGAGATGATGCATAGATTTACCGTTCGGGGTTTGAATACGATCAATCCGGAATGGTTGTATGACTGGGCGAACATTTCCCGATGTTGTCACTAAAAACTCACGTGAAGTTCATATTCTTTGCTAACTGTCGAAGTATATCGATGCACATGCCGTCAAAGGAACTGTTTCCAAGGTTCTCAACAAACGGATAAAACTAAAGCGTGAGAAAAAGGGAAAAAAATACATTTAAATAATAAAAAAAACTTACTTTAATTACATAACATTACTTCAATATGTCATTTAGTATTTTGCTGGGTTCCAGGACAAATGTGAATACCAGGAAATGAAAAGGTAGATCGCGCCTTAATGCAACCACCTGTTGGTTCTAAACTTTGTCTTATACATTAAAACCCACCTGCAACAACGTTTACAAGATCACAGTGGCGATATAAATGAAACCAATGCGTAGCGACAGATTTTAGGCTATGAAACCTGAAACGGTCAATGGCGTCCTAGCGACAGAGAAAACTTTCTGTAAGCTGTTGGTCTTTTTCACAAAATATGAGTCGCCATAGCCACTTTAAATATTCAAGTTGATGTCTATTTTTTACCTTTACGTTTGTTTGATATCATTGTTGTGTTAAATTCGTTTTTGCCTGATCATTTAATGGCCCCAAACAAACTGGCCTTGGTGTTAAGCGTTGACCAATTCGAGGAAAATTATGGAAACACAATTCTTTGTTTTCGTGAGAATAAGTAATGTTTAAAGAAGTTGCAGTCTGAGTGAAATATGATTAATAGAGTGGCAGTGAGCGTTTTGTTATCTCAAAATAAAAACAAAAATTGATGATCAGGCTGACGCGTGATTGTTGTCGTCAGCTTCAATCATGTGACCAGTATCATCCAATAAGACACGCTGTTAAACAGTAGAGGTATATCAACGTTTCACAATATATTAAAAGTATACGTGAATTACCGCAATTGATGACACCAGTAGCTGACGACCATTAAATCCAAGCTCTTTGTTGGGAAACAGTAACCCCGACAGCCTGTACCCTCCGCTGATGTGAATCATCCCGACACGACTCAACCTCCTCCCATCTCTGTCCCA